TTAATAATTATTACTATTATACATTATTGCTATTATATCATGAATCTGGGATCATTGAGGTTGCCTGTCCAGTATGGCAATCATGGCGCTTATGGGAAAGGCTCATTTTTTTCCTTGCTTTACAGATTTTAGGGTATTTTTTAGCCATTTGCTCTGGTTTTACTCCTTTTTTGTAATTGCAATTAACAGCGCAGAGTTTTCCCCACATCGCTGCGTTCTTGCAATAAGGCAACAATTTGGGGTAGAAATGGATTTATAAGGACAACTTGCTATCTGCATCGTCTGCGTTGTCTGTGATCTCTTCCAAACCACCATTCCCCAGGAATTTGGGAAAAAACCCCGCTGCTTCCTGGGGGGTATGTCAGCAAAAAAATCCTCCATGCAAATTTTTTTTCTGAAACACTCCAATTTAATTGCAGGAGCCTCTTAAAAAGAAAACAAGCCAAAATGAGGCATTTTGGAAATGGGTGGCACCTCCCTGGCAGGTTTTATTGCCTATGCAATGCTTTTAAAAATTTCTTTCTTTAATACCTCACCTTCGCAGGCTTAAATCTTGCAGCAAACCCCTCCACGCTGTGAAAAAACACCCACGCAGGGAATATCAGGGCAGAGAGAGAGCCCCGGACAAGCACCTCCGGATGCTCTTCCCGCGCCACCGGCATGATTTATTCAGCCGGAGCCCGGGGGAATCACGGGGACCTGCTGGCCTGATGTTTAATTCATCCAGGAGAAGCATTTTGATGAAGAGCTGGGGAAAAAAAAGAAATAAAAATCCCTTTTTTGCTCAAGCACTGAGATTTCAGTTCGGTTCTTGCAACCTCATTAAAACTTCTCTTGTTTTTTTGGGGGGAGGCAGCAAGTTTTTGCTCAAGGGGCACGTTTCTCCTCATGGTGGCAATCAGCTGGGTAAGGAACATGGGTTTGCAAGCGGGTAATCATGGCAGGGTTTTAACCTCAGGTTTGGAAAGTTTTTTTTTTTGTTTGGTGGGGGTTTGGGGGTTGGTTTTTACAGTAAAAGTGGTTTCCTCCTTAATCGCACATGGAAAATGGTCACGACATCGGCACCGTGGTCCCTGACTGTGCCAGTGCCACCACAAGGAGAAAAAGCCCATTGCCCTTTGCAAATCATTGGCAAAAAAAATGAGGTATTAAATAGATAATCCTGGGGAAAACTGGGGATGTCATGCAATGTTTTTGGGAAAAAAAAAAAGGGGGTTGGATGCTCCCTACGAGTTCCTGGTTTTTGCACTCACCCCACTCTCTTTTTGGGTTGGTTTTGCTTGGGTTTTGGGTTGCCCATCGCCATTTTCAGCCAAGTCTCTCCCCGTTCCTCTCCCCTGGCAGGTCAACCTGGATCTCACCTCCCTCCTCGATGGCGAGGACAAGAAGTCCAAGAACAAGCGAGGTGTCCTGCCCAAACATGCCACCAACATCATGCGCTCATGGCTCTTCCAGCATCTCATGGTGAGCACCACAGCCGCCGAGACACCCTGCAAACTGGGGGGGAAAAAAAAAAGGCAAAAACCCCCCAAAACTGAACAAATCAATGTGGTGGTTTATCTGAATTTATATTCAGGGGCACAAAGTGGCTTTGGTTTTGTTTTGGGAGTATTTTGGGGATGACTGTTTTTGCTGCAGGTGGCAAAAATACTCCCTTAATGTATGAAGAAGCAAACAAAAACAGAGGGGGGACTTCCACAACTTATTGTGGGTGGGTGATGGAGCATTTTTTTTACACCTAACAGCTCCAAAATACGCTTTTCCAGCCAGCCAGGGTGTAAAAGCTGCCCCACAGGTGTGGTTGAGGCACGTCGGCAATCAGTCAAAACGCAGAATTGCAGCATCGCCCCATTTTTGGGGTTGGCGGTGGAGATATGGGTAGATGGAGGGAGGTAAGAGGATGCAACCGGGATATTTTCTCTCATCAGCAGAGCTCGAAGAAGGGCAGAAAGCTAAAAAAAAGCCCCTTTTTCCTGCATAACTTGGCCAAGAAATCACTCAGAAGCTGTTTGCAAAGTGTTGCGTGAGGGTCTCCAGGAAGGTGGGAGACCCACAGGTAACACCATGTCAGAAAACAGCAGCTGCAAGGAGCAACCTGGGGTAAAACATGACCCAGGACATGTAGCAGCAGCTGGTTGGGAACTTTCCACTTCTTTTTTAATGAGAAATTTTGGATTTATTGCATTGAGGACAAGAGCATTGCCGTGTTGGGCTGCCATCCCAAGCTGAGTTGTGCATCTCTCATGCTTTTGGAGGGCTGAACTGCTGATGTGCAAGCAGAAAAAGGATTTAGAAGATCAGAAACTGAAGAACAATTTTCTGCTGGGTGCTAGGAGAACCCCATGGTTTGAGATTTCCAAAATTGGATCAAAAAATTCAAAGAATTGTTCTTCTACTGGATGGTGAGACCTTTGCTCTCAGCCTGGTCCTCATGGTCAGAAGATGCTTGGGCTTCCCCGTGGGATTTCTCCATCCAGCATCATAAATTATGTGGTTTTTAACCTAATAGCATTGATGCTCATCATTTTATTGGGTTTGGGAGTTTTGTAGCATCAGCAAGAGGAAGGAATCCTGGAAATAATATGCCAGAAATGGAGATACTTTTGCCAAAAAACAGCTGGTTTTTACCACTTTGGCATCCCTGAGGCCCTGGTGGGACAGGAGTCTCCTGCATGCCATGACTTTGAGTGGTTTTGTCAAGGAAATCACATTATTTTGGGGGCAAACAGCTGGAAAACATGTCATGTGAATCAACACTGGTGCTGGCTTGGGGCTCCGAAGAATGACCTGTGGGGCTGGTTTGATAATAGTTTCATTTTTGGGGTTGGAAAGGAGGATTTTAGCATGGTTGGGAGGAGGTTGTTGAAGCTTTGAGTGCTGGTAGTCTCCCAGTGCAGATGTTTTGGGGCGTTTTATTGATGCATCTGACAAGGAGCATTGTGGGTGACAGTGGGTTTTGAAGCCCAAATCCCACCTTTGCCAACAACCATTATTTGAAAATTGCTAAAACTAAAAAATAAAAATAAAAAAAAATAATTTCCTTCAAGGAAAAGCCTTGGATGGAAAGCCTTGGAAAAGCCTTAAGGACACTGAAGAAACCATGATGCTCTTGGATGCCACCCTTAAGCCTTGCGTCTTGCAAATTCAAGAAGCCACCAAATTTGGGGTGGAAAAATAAAAAAAAAAAGAGGTGGTGTAGTTTTTTTTCCCTTGGGGCTGCTGTTTTTCACATAGGGATGTCATTTTGCTGCCCCATCTCTGTTTTTTCCCAGCACCCCTACCCCACAGAGGATGAGAAGAGGCAAATCGCTGCCCAAACCAACCTGACCCTCTTGCAAGTCAACAACTGGTGAGTGCATCAGTGGCCCTCGCAGCCATCTTGCTAGATTTAGAGATTTTTTTTCATGCCATTTTGGGGCTATATAATGCTTTTTTGGGGTAACATGGGCAGTTGGGGACAATTTCTGAGACACAGGCTCGGATGCGTTTAATTGATGGCATTGGTTTGCGATGTCTCAGTGCCCTCTCCTGGCAAACCCGGTGTGTAGCAGCCTTCAACTCATAGCTGGAAAAATTAATGCAATAGCATTACATGCTGCAGACAAATAAAATAGGGTAAAAACCCAGCTTTTTTGGACCGTGCAGCCACTTTCAAAAGGGTTTTATATTGCAACTCATTACATTTTTACAATGTCTGTTGTTTCAATGCAAAAATCCGTGTAATGGCTCTTATTGTCTTGACTGGTCTCTTTTCCCTGGAAAGGTTCATAAACGCCCGACGGCGCATCCTGCAGCCAATGCTTGATGCCAGCAACCCAGACCCAGCCCCCAAAGCCAAGAAAATCAAATCTCAGCACCGGCCCACCCAGAGGTTCTGGCCCAACTCCATTGCCGCTGGGGTCCTGCAGCAGCAGGGTGGCAATTCGGGGACAAATCCTGATGGTAAGGACAAACCTTGACAGCCCCTGCCCCTCCTGGGTGTTGTGGCTGTGTGTTAAAGTATGGCAAGATTTGGTAATTAAGGATTTCTAGAGGTCTTTATCCCCCTGTGGGGAAACATATGTTGAAGAGGTGGTCCATGCAAGAAGGTTCTTCCAGTTGGCCATCACGAGGGAGATGGCAATGGGGCGCTACCATCTCCTTGGCATAGGAACAGCCCTCAAGGGTCACTTGCTGTGGGGCATCATTTGGGGTATCTCCTGAGGTGCTGGGGAGGAGATAAAGGGGGAGATGGGGAGAGGAGTGGAGCCAAAATGAAAAAAAGATGAAAAGATGGAGATGAGAAGACAGATGAGCCAAGATGGGAAGCGAAGATGAAGAGAGAACAGATGACGAAAATGAAGAGGAGCACATAAGATGAAGAGAATGTGAAGAGAGCAGAGATGAGCATGGACCAGACAAGATGAGAAGAGAGAAGATGAAGAGAAGGGAAGGTGGAAATTAAGAGAGGATAAAGAGATCTGACAGGCTGAGAGAGTTGGGGTTGTTCAGCCTGGAGAAGAGAAGGCTGTGGGGAGACCTTAGAGCCCCTTCCAGTCCCTGAAGGGGCTCCAGGAAAGATGGAGAGGGACTTTGTCAGGGAGTGTAGTGACAGGACAGTGGTAAGGGCCTTAAGCTGCAGGAGGGGAGATGGAGATGGGATGGGAGGCAGAAATCCTTCCCTGTGAGGGTGCTGAGGCCCTGGCAGAGGTTGCCCAGAGAAGCTGTGGCTGCCCCTGGCTCCCTGGCAGTGTTCAAGGCCAGGTTGGATGGGGCTTTGGGCAACCTGGGCTAGTGGAGGGTGTCCCTGCCCATGGCAGGGGGTGGGACTGGATGGGCTGGGAGGTCCCTGCCCACCCAAACCATTCTGGGATTCTGTGATTCTATCTGCCCAACCAATTTGGGCACCTACTTGCCCAAAAATGAAGGTTCCTTGTTATTTAATGAAGATACGTTAGCTAAAAAAAAAATTAAGGGTTGGACCTTGGGGCGTGGCTGGGGCAGGTGGGTGCTCTCTCTAGGTTCAGCTTCATGCTTGGGTTGTTCTTGATTTATGCACTTTTTTTGTCCTTTTTCTATTAGCTTGGGGAATCCTTATTGATATTATTTCTTTTTATCTTCAGGCTCGCTCAGCATGGACAACCTGCAACCCCTCTCATCAGCCACAGCCACCATGGCCATGCAGCAGGCCATGCTGGCAGCCCATGACGACTCCCTCGACGGCACCGAGGAAGAGGAGGAGGAGGACGAGGACGAGGACGAGATGGAGGAGGAGGAAGAAGAGGAGGAAGAGCTGGAGGAAGAGCCTGGTGGCCTCCCGGCGGCACCTGGCGCCGACCTTGGCTTGGACCACAGTGACTCGCTGGAATAACAGCTCCTCCTGCGCCCTCCCCAAATCATTG